AAACAAAAACTGAACCCTGCTGATCCACCAGCAGCATCATTCATTCCAACCTATAACTTCAAACTAAACGCGTCTTACTACAAACTAAGATAATTTTCTTATTTTAAGAATTATCAGTCTAATGTAATATTATTTTAGTAATGAAGCATTTTGAACTGATTGGCAGAAACACCAACATCGGCTTCAGTAAATCCGGATTTTTGCATTTCCTGTATTTCATTTAATCCATAAAACAGTTTAAAGGATTAGTTTTTTTCACAAAATGAAAAGAAAGAACACCCTACTTTAATTTATAACGTTTTATTTATAAACATACAGTATGCCGTAATAAATGTCATTGCATTTAAACATCAAATGAATCTATATTCCGGATAATGTTCAGGTAAATATTACAATAAATACAGTACAGATGCAAAAAGCTTTACACCGCCTTCCCGCCACTCTTAAAAACCCGCTCGGTCTCAAAGATCCCGCTATAAGAGACTCCTCACAGATTTACTCRTCAGCTAAATGAGGATTAAAAATAAAAAACGTACAGAATCAGAGAAATACGTTTGGAAATCCTGTAAATCAGAGAGAGATGAAGCCGGTTAAATCAGCTGCTTGTTGCTTTCAGACAGCAAATTATTTGGTTTTGTGCTTAAACGTGCAATTTTTTATTTATTTATTTATTTCTAATAGCCACAACACATAACGGAGCTCTTACAGGATAAAATGTAAGCAGGTTAAAACAGCTCTTTAGTTTTCATCCAACCAAATATTGCACAGGTGCAGCTGCTGCTGGTACGTCTGACTGACCTCTGCTGAGGACACACACACTGGTGTGTTATTAGTTTCTGAATATATTTTAATTTAAATATATAGAAATGATTTTAACAGCTGAAAAAATAGGATAGTTTCAGTGAGGAGCAGAACAGAAGCTGATTTAACAGCAGAATTAATGGTTCCCCTGCAGGATGGAGATTTAGATTTTCACAAATCATTTGTATTGTTTTTTTTACAATTTCCAATCAAAGAACCCACAAGTGGAACACAAAATTGTGTTTCGTATTTTACATCGATGCTTCTCGAGGGATKTATTAAACACTGAAGGGCTGCAGTTGAATCGGTAACAAAATCCCTCTTTGAACAGAATTCGTGGCTCCGGTGCTTTTGCTCCTTGTTTTGTTAAGGCACGTTAAAATCTGCACGTTCCAAACGGATTTACCAAACAAAAAAACACCTTGTTGGGACCCAAACGCTTCAAAACATCACGATATTAAATCAATTTTCATTTCTGAAGAGCTCGTTTTCTTCTGTTCAGAGAGAGAGAGGTCAGCGTGAGGTTTAAAACCTATACTTACTGTAGATTTGTTGTGCCTTTAWTGCAATTTCCAAAATAAAATATGAGTGTTTTTATTTATTATCTGAGCAAAGACGGCCAGCAGAGCCTACAGCTTTCAGAGAAGAACGACAGGATCGGATTTCTAATTCTCATCACTGTAAATAAAAG